CTCTGGCTCTCTTCGTGTGTCCCTAGGGCCACATATGTAGATACTCTTCAGTAATACTGAAGATATATATTTGCTTTCCAAGACAATTATTTGATATATGTATATGGTGATAGAGAAGACCAGAATTGAATAAATTTAGTATCAAAACACTCTTTTACTCCCAAAAGACGATGCATAAAATATCCTCCCCCTGCTAAACCAATGTGCTCTGTGTATTCAGTCAGGCCTAATGACTTCAGTGACAAACTGCATTTATTGGCACATTTTGCTCTCCTTAACTGTGCATATTCAGCACTGTAAATGAGAATAGGATTCAGCTCCCTCCTGTCAAAAACGGAATTTTATATGTTCCAGGCATATTTCTATTAAGCTGAAGKATTCATACCTTAAATATAGATTTTTTCTGAGAATGTAACTTGATTTGAAGTATAATGATGGGGACAATGCATAGGGAGAGAAGAGCTGAAGCATGTTCAAGTCTGTTCTCAGTACTCAGGAGTAGTGAGTAGATTGAAGATGAGGAGAAAGCTGGAAATATTTGTAGTAGGATCAGTCTAAGACCCTTCAGTAAAGTGTTTAGAGAGTCACTTGTAGCAATGCAGTGTGTTACATGTCAATGAGCCAGTGGCTCAAGAGGCACTGGTCACCTCACATTATTAGTAGGTGAAAAAAAAATGCAAGTAACAAACCAAATAAAAGCGTGAATTTCCAGAATGCTAAGCACGCACCCAGTCTCATGCTTAAGAACCACCAGACTTGGCTGTCCAAGGCAGTTAAGTTAGAAAGGTTAGAGGTTCATTACACCTAGTATTATTAACAATTCCCAGAAAAGTACTGCATAGTTACAGTAACTAGTACATCTTTATCATATGTGAAAGGGTGAAACCTTGCAACAGGATTATGACAACAGAGTACATACTGGTTTATTTCCAAACTGATCTCTGCACAGGAAATAGTATTCTAATTAGACTACTTATTCTACTAATTGGACTACTACTAACTTCCCTAGAACTCCAAATACTCTCCCGTCAACTGTTGCAATAAATGCTCTTTCAAGAGCTTTGAGTTCATTGSCTTTAAGTTGCTACTTACTCTCTTCCAGCCAGTGTGATTGGGTCTGAGGATTAAAAACCTCATATACTTTTTAAAATATGCTGTGGTTTAAAAAAAAAWTATTTCTACCACATTYACAGTCTGAAAGTCTTCTTTGTATATAAAAACATCAGAGTAGGCAGTCCTGGATTAGATGAGTGATCCCCCTAASCCAATGCCTAACTCCAGCAGTGCGAACCAGTGGATTGCTAAGGTGAAGAACAGGGTCMTCGATAAGACAGAGCCACTCTTTGACATTTTCTACCCCATTTTTCAGGAGTATGTGACTTTCTGATCTAGGAAGTCATGATTCAGAGTTCATAACTTGATGTTTGATAGATTAATCTTTATCATTACTGTTATTTTATCAATTAATTTGTCAGTACTATGAGTTGCCTCAGTAACTCACACAGAATGCTCAAAATAAAGAAACAAATATAGCCAGATGACTTCAATCCACCACTTATACTCCACAGTATGCAGGAGTAGCAGCAGAAGAAATGGTTTTCACTGATGCTTTTGGTAGAGCTTACTATGTTGATATGAGCAGCTGAATGTGAATCTTGATTTGACAGGGCCAGTAGGCCAGCCAAATTTTAAATACTGTTTCCTAGCATAGACCAGTTTTTCTGAGGCTCATACAGAAAGACCTTTCTATTATACTACAATAATATTTGTAGGTTCCCATAACAAAAGGGAGGTATTTGTGCAGTAGGTATTTGTGCTCTGCCTGCGGAGCCAAGGACGTTATGGAAAGATTTTATAGAAACATACGGGTGTCCCATAAGACACCAGGAAAGTTCAAGGAGAAAATCATCCTAAAAATGCAAGCACCACATCTGCTGAGGATGCTCCCAAGATGAAAATGAAGAYGACTCTCTCTGTGGCTACCGTAAATGCCACAGGAGGTTGCAGTGTCCCTGCGTTTAGGTGGGGAGAGGGTAATGTGATAAATAAATACAGCAGAGACTATGTTGTCAGGTGCAAGTCTGCAGTGCTGTACTTGCAGTGATGCCTGTAGGGCTGTGTTTTCAGCTGCCAGCAGCCCTAGGGCTCCATTTTCCTGATTTCTGGGGTGGTTGCAGTACCCTGAGCCCACAGCCTGGGATCACCCCCGCTCTGCTCGCCGGAAGGCAGCCGGGCGGGCGGCAGGAGGGCTTAGGACCCAGGGGGACGGCAGCCGCCGTGTGGAAGGACCCAGGCTTTGGTGCACACGCCTCCTACCAAAAAAATTCACAGCCCCGTGGAGCTGGCGCTCTCTCATTCACAGTTTTCTAGAGAGATCTKAGCCTGAACCTGGGAGCCGGGAGATCTTTCTCGCCCACCCAGCTCAAGAGCACGGACACCTACCGCGGGGGAAATACTCACCCCACGCAGCCCCCCGCCGCCTCAAGGCAAGGCAGCCTGGCTCTACGCAGGTATTTGCATTTGGCTTTTCTCCGCTTGCAGCAGGGCGGCTCTCGGCGCTCCGAGCCGGGCTGCGGCGCTTCAGCACCGCCGGGCGGACAGCGCCGCGCCGGGAGCGCCCGCCGGGGCCGCTCCGCACCCCCGACCGCTCCGCACCCAGCCCCATCTGCACCCCGGCCCTGCTCCTGCACCCCGGCCCTGCTCCTGTACCCCCGGCCCTGCTCCCGTACCCCCGGCCCTGCTCCTGCACTTCTCGGCCCTGCTCCTGCCCCCTCTGACCACTCTGCACCCCCTCGCCGCTACGCACCCCCTCACCGCTACGCACCCCGGCCCGATCTACACCCCAGCCCTGCTCCTGCACCGCGCGGCCCTGCTCCTGCCCACTCTGATCACTCTGCATCCCTTGACCGCTGTGCACCCCAGCCTGATCTGCACCCCAGCCCTGCTCCTGCACCTCCGGCCCTGCTTCTGCACCCCCACCTGATCTACACCCCACTGACCACTTTGCACCCTCAGCCACTCAGCACCCTTGATGGCTCTGCAAACCTGCCTGATCTGCACCCCTGCCCATTCTGCACTCCTGCCTGCTAGCTCATCAGCCCCCACCACCGCTCTGCACCCATCTGCCTGCCCTGCACGCCTGCCTGCTCATTCTCCTGCTCTCTGCCTGCTCTGCACCTCCCCTGCCTCATCTGCAACCCCCTACACAATCTGCACCCCTTTGCCTGCTTTGCACTCCTGCCCGCTCTACATCCCCCTGCCTGCTCTGTACACCTGCCTGCTTGGCCTCCTACTCTCTGCTCTGCACCCCTCTAAACCCCTCTAAACCACTCTGCACCCCTGCCTGCTTTGGACCCACCTGCCTGCTCTGCAGCCCTGCCTAATCTGCCTGTCCAGCCTCCTGCCCACGCTGCACCCTGCTCCTCACTCCTGCTGCTCTGCATCCCTGCCTGTTCTGCYTGCCTGCCCAGCCTCCTGCTCCCTGTACCCCTGCTCTGTCTTCCTGGCTGCCTGCCTATCTCTGCACCTCTGCCTTCTCTGCCTGACTGCCTGGCCTCCTGCTCCCAGCCCACCTACCTGCTTCGCCCCCMTGCCAGCCCTGCCTGCCTGCTCGGCTGCCTGCTTTGCCTCCCTGCCTGTGCTGCTCCTTGCCTGTCTGCTCTGCCTGACTCCCTGCCTGCCTGGCTTCCTTGCCTCTCCGTCTTGCTTCTCTGCCAGCCTGTCTGGCCTCTCTGCCTCCCTGCAGGCCTRCTCTGCCTGTTTGCTCAGCCTCCTTGCCTCCTAGCTTGCTGTACCTCCCTGCCTCTTTATTCCCTACCCGTTTGCCCCTCTGCCTGCTCCCTGCCTGCACCTGCCTGACTCTTTCCTCCCTTTTCTCTGTCTGCCCTGTCTCTCTGCTCCCTTCCTCTCCTCCTGCCTTTCTTCCTGCCCTGCCTCCCTGCTCCCTACCTTCTGCCTCCTTGCCTGCCTTGCATTCTTTGCTTCCTCTGTCTCCTCTCCTCTTTGCCCTGCCTCCCCTGTTCCAAGTACCATTCAACAACCTGCTCCCCTGCCGCCTCTGCCTCCTTTCCTCCCTGCCCATTTTATCCTGCTCTTCTTTTCTTCCCACTCTTCCCCTTCTGCTTTCCCTTGCTCCTCACAGCCTCTATCCTTCTTGCAAGAAGGCAGGGAGACTGGAAAAATCAGATCGGCTCCCCAGGAGCCAGGCAAGCACTAGTTGGAAGGAAAAGTTAAGATGCAATTTCAGAGCAAGTGAGAGGTCAGATGGAGGGAGAGGGTTGACCCTGGCAGTTGAGGGACCAAGGAATGACCCCGASCAAACATACATAGATAGGAGCTTGCCAGCAGGTAGCCATTTGCTCCACATCAAATTGATGCCTGTTTGACCAAGCATAGTAAACCTGGAGAGGGAGGAGGGAACAATGAGAGCAGGGAATCAAGAAGGATCAGTCAAATGTTCTGCTTTCGCAGTGGGAAATGATGATGAATGATGTGTGCAGGGAGGATGCAGGGTGAACCATGTGGTTTATTTGCTGCAGGAAGTCAAGAATTAAGTTGTGGTCTCTGCAAACACTCCATGTGTTCAGGGATGGCTTCATGCAGAAAATGAACACAAAACAAGTAACTGCTAGAGAAATCCCTCACCTGCTACCAGCCTGACTTTAATTCCATGTGTGATGGTTTGATCCTGGTGTGAGGGGGAGGTCACCGGAAGAAGGGAGCTTTCCCTTTTCAAAATGCTGATTTCCAGTAATAATGAATTTAAGGACCAGATGGCTTGTTGCTGTCCATCACTGAACAGTGACTGGATCATATTTGGAAGGAAAAATTAAATTACAGAAAGGCAGCTTTCATGTGCTTTCTGAGTAATCAGATGATAACACAGATTTTCTCCAGTAATAAAAGTTAATGCAGTGCCAGCATCTAAATGACATATTATGTAACTGTATTATGCCATGTACTGCACAGTGAAGGTAAGGGGTTTCCTTTTTGTGTAACGGTRAGTCACATAACCTTATAGATCTTCCTCCAGTTTGAAAACGGCATCCCAGCTTGAAGTTAACAGGACCAGCTTGGGTTTTGAACATAACCAATTTTGATATTTATCTGTTCTAAAATGTTATCTTAAGAATTCTGTTGACTCATCCCAGCTTTGAAAACTGTTCAATATTAGRCCCTTGGAATGCATGTGAAACAGGGGAAGATATTGTAATCTATTCTAAGAATCTTGGCATTCTTATATTTTTATACTCAAGATACTCTGACAGCGAGTAGCACTGGGTGCTACTGAGTAGTAGTAGTATAAGCAATACAACTGAGTTCAGCAGTGGAGGGACTGCAGACTCCTCCCAGACTGCACTGAATTCCTTAAACTCCCTGTGCTCTGAACACAGGAAATGTTTCACCGAAACACATACCAGTAATCTCCTCATATTCCTAAGGAGAACCATGCCAGTTAAATTACGAAAGATCAGCTTCATAAATGGATTTGGAGAAAATCCTTTGAACTAGAACAGCAAGCTACAGCAATTCTTAATTTAAGTGTGCATTTGCTGAAGCATTTGTGCTATTGTTTGGCAAGTGAGTGTTATTTTCTATTTCAGCCCGTTGCTGTGGTGCCTGGCACATACACAGACAAGATGTGACAATCAGATCCTACTACTAACAAAAAGAGGCAACATCAGCCTTTTATGGAGTGGGAAGTTCAGTGAGCAGAAGTTCACATGGCTTCTGGTAGAAGAATTCAAAACCTTATCCCTCTTGTTACTCATGTTATTCTTGAGATTTGTTTTGACAATTTCCAAACAGGATTCTCTTTTCCTTAGCAGGAAAATGTGTTCCTCAACCGAGAAAACAAATGTACAGCATATTACCATCCTTTTCTGCAMTTCTGGGAGAGCTGCCTGTGTGTAGATCTTTGTATTTTTGCCCAGACTTGAATAGGAATGAAAGAAAAAAATGCATGAAATTTCTTGTTGCAGAAATTTTCCTTCCTTCCTTCCTGCCTTCCTTCTCTCTCTCCTTCCCTTCCTCAYTCCCTCCCTCCCTCCCTCTCTCCTGGCTGCCTGCCAAACTTTCCTTCTCCCTGCCACCTTCCTCCTTCCTTGTCTCCTACTCCTAAAAAAATTTGATTTTATTCTTTTTTTAAATGACAATTCTGTACAAAACAGAAAGGAGACTGTTGGTAATAAGCTCATAATGCAGAAGTTTGTCTAATGTTTTTAAATGAATTTAAGTTTTTTAAGTGGGGAAAACTGTAAAAGCTCTATAAAATCAGGTAAACATCATGCTATTAAAGCTGTACTTATTCCATCTTCTGCCTATCTTCTGCCTTGTGCAGATGTCAGGAGACAATCAGCTCATTATACTTAGGGACTTTCAGGTACCAATGTTAAAATCCTCTGCTATTAAATTTCTATGTGTAGGTTAATTWTCATGTCTGGGGGAGATCAGAATTCTTGCTTTATATATTGCTGATAACTTATTCTATGAGTTGTTTCTATACCTTTGGACTAAGTGACCTTTCAGGTCACTCAGGAGCTTTGCAGGCTTGCAAATACTCCAATACTTGGARTATTTCATGACTGACATGTCAATCTTGCACAGCTAGTGCTTGCCTCCTTGGTATGTTACATGCTGTATGACCATGTTCATGCAGGCCATTCCCATAGAGATTCACAGTTCACCTGTGACTGATGTACACTGCAACTTGTAACTGTAATTTAAAGAAAGATTGGAGTATTCTCATTAAGTTCATATAGGATTTGTCTGTTTGTTTGCTTTGTCTGACTTGTTTGTTTACAAGTTTACACGGTAATATGCAAGTAGATAAGAAGTCTGCAAATTTGAGGTCAAAAGATAGTGAGGTAAAAATCTTTATTTCATTTCAATCATAAAGCCTTGTCACATCAGTCTCTGCTCATTCCTGAAAAGTTATAGTGACAACAGGAACATCTGCAGGTTAGAGTTAACATCTGCAGGTTAGAGTTGCAGACTTGGCTACCCTGCACACTGCATATAAAGTTGCAAATTTTGGTCCAGTTGCTGCCTTGCTTGTACTGTACCATGGCTAAATTACCACTTCTGAATGGATAAATGTGACTCCAGGTCAAACTGTAAATGTCTGAAGCTGACTGGAAGACTGTAATAGGTGGACAGTAGGAAATTGTGATGAATTATTTTTCATTGAGCTGAAGGAAATGYTAGTAATTGTACTGCAGCATGGAGATCAGGTCCCAAGAAAGTGTGAAAAAACATTAAATTCTCTTTGCTGCTTTTACAGTCTAGCATTTCCTATTTTCATGTTGAAGAGAAGGAACAATTCCCTAGTGAAAGTCTATGAGAGCACTAGACCTTGAAGAAGAAAGGATTGAGATATTTTCCTCATTTAAGTTCACTGGGAGGATTTAGTCCTAAGGGATGGGATACAGAAGAGAAGGTGATGATTATGATTTTCGTGGAAGTCAGGCCATTGAGTTTTGATACAAGGTGAACCCAGAGCACGGGTGTCCTACTGGGAAAAACATAAAGAAATGCCAAACTRCTGGCATGTTGATGATGCTATTGAGGTCTGCTTTTACTCTAGGATTGGAGAATTTCAGAATACCTCCCAGTTTCTGWGTACAACATGACTCCATGTTTTTCCCTTGTTATGGAGCTACTATAGCTGTTCTACATTTGTGGAGAGGCTCCCCAAATGTTAGTGTGGAGACTTGTGACTCAGGAAACTTATGTTGTTGTCTCAGCTCTGTGAAATGTGTCCTCCATGACATCAAACAAATCACTCAAGGTTTCACTTCTCTCCACTGAGGATCTGGCWGCCAAGGACAATGAGATTTTCTCACCACTCTTTTGGGCTTATTTTATGGGGCCAGTATATGACTCTGTCTATGTCTGTTTACTCTGGGCTCCTACTAAGAGCCCACAAGAGGCCAAAGGAGCCATTCTTGTACTATAAGTACAGCTATGGCTTCATCTTTCCTTGCCCTTACAGAGTAGTCCCTGCTAAGCAGAAGCTAGCCTCCAGATGTTTTTCACAGTTAACATCAAAATATATATTTTTTTAAAAAAGCAATTTAATGAGATGACACCCACACTCTGAAATGAAATTATTCTTGATTACCATTTTCCATCCCTTCCTGCCCACTCCCTTTGCTTCCTTAACTTCTGGCATGATTCTAGCAGCTAATATCTGTATGAATGCTAGCAGTTAGGAGTTATGTAATAGAACAAATCATAACACAGTGATGACTATTCTTACTAGATAAGGATCAAACCCTTCCCCATTTGAAAACTATGTAAATGAACTTTCAGATGGCATATATTGATGGACTGAATCTAAAACACTCATTAGAGAGAGGCACCAAAAGCCTGTCTGAAACTGAAGTGGAAAAGGCCAAATGAACATGACAGTGCTTCAAGAGGCAGATGATGCTGCAGCAACAGCTAAGTGACCAGGAACAAGATGATCCAGACAATAGCCATCATCAGTAAGAGCAGGGTTGGCAAATTTTGTAGTGATACAGGAGATACTGTGATAGAACTGTTGAATGATGAACTGAAAGCTATCATGGCACAGAGAGAAGTAAAGCACATTGAGGCCTTTGGGGCATAGATATGCTTAAAATATTGTCTTCATTTTAGTTATTTATGAATTATTAATATAAATTTTGCTATTAAGTAGATCTTATTTTTGAGGGTCATGTAAAATTATAAGCTGTTGGTCAGAAGACTGTATTCCATTTTTGATATTTTACTTTATTTATAAAGCAGTTCTCTGTTCCTTGTCATTTTCTGGTTGTGACTGAAAATAAATAACTTGAAATGGTGACACCGTAGTTTTGGTGAATTCCTTTTCCCTCTGTATATTAATATGTTAAGCCCCAAATCTCTGTTAATTATTTTTCTCTGCTTAAAATAGAGTTTTGTTCCTTTGGAGGGATGATTTATTGTAAGTGGCTGTGAAAAGACATCAGGAGAGCAAATAGTCCTTTGGGAACAAAGAGTCAGAACACAGAAAAACAACTGTTGAAATTATAGCAAAGAGTCTAGTATGCCAACACATAACAACAATATTCAAGCCTGGAAGAAAAGGCAGCACCTTCATTTGGAAAAAAAAAAAAAATATATAACTGTCTTAGACATTAGGAGATGAACCAGAGCTGAACACAGCACTGTTTGAGAAAGAAAATCTTCTAGGGGAGGGATGAAAATGGAGAAGGTTACACCTTTAGGAATCAGGGTAAATCAGTATGATTAGAGAAAGCAGGATTRCAATTAAACTGAGTAGCACTGGAGTAGTAAATATATTGCCTAGGGGAACAGTGGGAGGACCAAATCATAAACCCATATAAATCACAAAACCTCTTTGAAGTGCTAGAGTGGATTAGGACTAGCCCCATGATATGTGGTGTGATTTGGACAGTGACAGTGTTGTTTACACTTTTATGGATTATTTTGCAATATATCACATTATGCCAATAAAGTATTTTAGAGCAAAGTCTGTTCAGGCTGGTAATCAGAATAATCGATAGAATCTCTCCTGTTAACTGCAAACCATAGCTATAACTCAGTTCATGGTCAAAAAACCCTGGCATGTATTTTAAAATATATTATTGTATTTTGTTAGATTGAATATTTTTAAGTTTTTCAACAAATTTTGACTGGGGAAACATTTAGCTTTCTCTCCTTGGATACATCACAGGCATAACCGCCATTAATCCACTGAAAGAGGGTAGCAAACCATGATGATTACATATAGCATCCCTTTTGGCATCTGCTGCAAAGAAATTCTAGAAGTAAACTTGAAGGTCCAGACTTCCTTTGTGAGGTCCTACCCCATTTCCTTCTGGAGGAGATCATAGTTGACCCACCAACACTCTGCTCATTTTCAAAGATGATTAATGCAAGAAAATGGTGGTAAAGCCACACAACTTTCAAACGCAAAATGTGGGTGTGAATCTCCTATGGTCTACATCAGCTTTATGCCAGTATAGTTCAGTTGACACTGGGAGAGCTATCCTAATTTGGTATAAAGAAAGTAAAACAAATACAGTTATCCCTTGTGCTGATTAACTTCCAGGTCTAGGGATGTAACTCTGAGCAGCCTCTGGAAGGAGGCTAAGAATTACGCTGATGGCTGCTGTCCCCATTGCTTGAGATGAGAACACTGAGCCCAGGGGAGCAGCTGAGTGAAACAGTGCTCTTGCTGTCAATAATTCATAATTTTCCAAATAGCTTCCTTTAAATATAATAAAGTATGTATTTCACTGAGGGCTTCCCTTTTAAATTTCAATCCATATTTTTCTTTTCCTCAAATTAGAGAGAGAGATAGATAGATCAGTTAAGTAGCAGTGGGGTTTTGTTCATTTGACTGTTTCTTTTTTTTTTTAAAAAAAAAACGACAGTGGATGGATTTTGATCTTTCTTCACTTACATCTCAAGCTGGAACAGACCTTGATCTTATTTCATGCAAGTGTAACTACACAGACTTCACTGACAGCATCTTGCTAATTATGTCATTGAAATATAAGAGATTCATTTTGCTCATACACAACAGCTTAAGTATTCTTTATTCTACACATGTAAAAACAATTTCTAGGCAAAGTACAAGGATGAACATGAAAATCAGGGAAGATAAATGTTACTGAAAATAGGAAATTGGAATAAACTGTATTTATTTTCAGCTGAAAAAAAGACACTATATTGGGTTAGATTCATCAAACAATTTAATCATGGGAAGTTTTCCTGAGTTTTCAACATTTAACAAATGGATACAATCTTTCATTTTTACAGAAGCATCATTATGTAGCTGCACTCTCTCACAAGACCCAAAACTTTGCAAAATAACGTGAAAGGTCACCTAGAAATTAAGAACTGTCATGAGTTCACCAAGACCTGCAAATGGAGAAATAAAGGAGGAATATGAGTAGTACAAATGAAGTATTTTCCTAAGTGTTAAAAGACCTTATAGATAGTGTTTATTGGGAAGGAAATGAACCTGTATCTTAAACGTCAAAAAAGTGGGGTTTGTTTTTTTATGTTCAGCAAGGTATCCATATACTCATGTCTGTAATCTTTCCAGAAAAAATAGGTTAGCCAGGACCATACTATACTTTTGGTCTGTCATGTATATCACAACAGACATACTTCTCTCAGGCATTCATATTCATTACTTCTGAGGTAACACTGTGTTTCATACCAACAACACAGTGGTTTGTCTTCACTGTCTAAAAGATGCATAAGATCTGAATGGGAAATATTTTCTGTGAGGTTTTACCAAGTAGAAAATATCTCTGGTGCTGATGGAATTTTGGGGTTTTATCAGAGTTTCATGAATAACTTAGGAGCTAATTCAAAAAAAACTACAAACTGATATTGCAGGTCATAAAATTATGCTTAACTGTTGTTTTACTTGTTGTCATAACTGTAAATCTGCATATTTAGGAAGTCAAAATGTAACTTTTGGGGCACAAAAAATAACTTCTATTTTTACTTTTGTCATTCAGGGCTTTAAGTTATGGAATGCTGTAATTCCCACATTTCTATACAATAACTTTTTAAGGCATACTCTAATATTAAACCAATACACTTTATGAATATCAGTTCATTAGATTCCCTTTCTGAAAATTTGAGTGTTTATATTCTAGATGCCAGTGGCTGTTTTCTCTGCACCTATTCTGRATTTTTTAACTACAATCCTCTTACAGAGAAGCACGCAAAATAATTTTATTGCTATATAAACTTTGGAAGTGCATTTCTATAAGCTTTATACACGTATTTAATCTTTCTTTTATATATTTGCTTTTTCTTTCAGTAAGTGATGGAGTAAATGGCTCTTTCCTTTGGATGGATTATACTACGTATGAGCTGCATGTTGCTCTTTCTGCAAGAATAAGAAAAAGTTTCAACTTTCATTTGTTAAATATCAACTTGATAGCAAAATTTTTCTGAATGGCTTACTCTTACAGCAGCCTATTAGTTAAATGGAATCAGCATTTCTTCTAAAATATTTGAAGTAAAGAATTTGGAAAAGAGGTTTTAGCAGAGATGACCCATTTACAAGCTGGACTTAGTCCAGAGACTATAGAGAAGGCCCGTCTGGAACTGAATGAAAACCCAGACATTTTGCATCAGGATATCCAGCAAGTCAGGGACATGATCATCACAAGGCCTGATATTGGGTTTTTACGTACAGATGATGCCTTCATCTTGAGATTTCTCCGAGCCAGGAAGTTTCACCAAACCGAGGCCTTCAGACTGCTGGCTCAGTATTTCCAGTACCGCCAGCTAAATCTGGATATGTTCAAAAACTTCAAGGCTGATGATCCAGGAATCAAACGAGCTCTCACAGATGGATTCCCAGGAGTACTGGAAAATCGTGATCACTGTGGCAGGAAGATCCTTCTGCTCTTTGCAGCCAACTGGGATCAGAGTAGGTAAATGTAGATGATGTCCTTATATTTTTACATACACACACTCAACTCTCAGCTGACTATTTGTGTTCATACTTGAAGCCCCAATGTCAGTAAAACATTTTGAAACCATGAGTCCATTTCAGCGAAGCTTTTATCTGACATAATAATCTCTCATTCCTCAGACATAACACCCTCCATGATAACAGTATGTCAATGTTTCAGATAAGTAGCTTGTATTCTTCTCCATAAACATTTCCATTTTCAAGATAGATATTGTCAACTTGCTGTAAAAAATTGATATCTATTGTATAATTATGTCAATAATGTCATGGATTAGCTGAACAGGTTTACAAGAAACATGTCTCAAAATACTTGGTAGTTTTCATTAATCTTTCAGTTCAGAAGGAATTGACCATGTTTATCTTATTTCCAGACTTCTTAACAGATCTTTTTTTTTTTTTTTTGGTTTTAACCCTTTCAGGAATTGCAGAATCTGCTATGAAATTTTGCAGAACTGTATCATATTTTCTACAAACTCTGGTCAGTGTATGCTGGTTACTGCGCTAAGTGGGAGATATGTATTTTCCATTCAAGTAGTTTCTTTACAGAATACTATGAACAAAGATATCTTCCAGCCATTAGTATAAAATGATGTTCTTAATGTGATTAGTCATCTTTTGCTATCTATTTGAAGTGATATAAATACAGAAAAAAAAAGAGGAATAGGGAAAGCCCAGGAATATGGTGTTGACATAGTCCCATAGTCCTCTTTGTCAGAATTCATTCCATTACAATTCCTCTGCCTTCATGCTGAGACTGAGAAATGCAATCAGCTGTAGGATTGCCATGTGTTCTGCTAGTTTCTGATAAAAATCAGACCAAATCTAGATTCAGGTTTTCAACACCATAAATTCTGATGAGTTCCAGGATTTTGCCTTGACATAGTCTAAGGAGATTAGATTGGATTTTGGATTAACATTACAGAAATTATTAAGGAGTAGTACATATGTGCTTGCAGTGCTTAATGTTTTTTTTTTCTGGGGAAAGTTTTGATCCATTTAGAGATTTAGGAAATAAATACAAAGAAATGTAGTTTTGCATATACAAAAGTAATTAGTACACTCTGGGTGAAACTCTCACCCAGCTGAAGCCAGTGATAAAATTACTATTGACTGAGACCAGTAGTTTGTCTCTTGTGATTTAACAAGGGGCTTAGCACTCTGTCTGAACTGTGAATTTTCCCTTCCAACCAGAAACTCCCTCCTTTACCACCCAGGCTGGAAAGACAGATGAGTGAACATGTATCTTGAATTAATACTAAGTATGAGCTTTASAGGCCAGAAGCATTGTGACTCTACTGGTTGACTTAAAGGATTTAGGTATTATACGGAGCCAGCTTCGGGTTACTGATCCTTTAACAAAATGAATCCTTATGATTAATCCTTATGATCTGGTTCATCAGATCCTTCTCTGGGAGAGCTGAAAATGCTCTTGTATAAGACTTTCAGTGAGATTTTGGTAGAAAATTGATTCTTGACAGATTTTGGCTCAAGTATTCTGAACATCTTCTAATAACTAAGCATGTATTTGTGTGTGAGTGCATATAGACAATAACATATTGTTCCTATGTTTAAGATAATTTGTTTCTGAAAATATAATTTAAACCCTGAAATAAGAAAAGCTTGGACTAAAAGGTTAGGCTGCATTTTCTTAGACAGAACTCCTCAGTTAACCTAAAAATCATGTACAAATTCTACCTCTTTTCAGCCAGAGAATCAACTCCTTTCTGATTTCAAGAGACAAAGAGTGTTATTTCAGTTGGCTTTTTTACCTTTGTTACTCATGGGTTTGGGGTAGGAGTCTTCAGAGTATGAGTCAAGGACAAGATTTGGCTCATACATTGACTCATAAAGATATCATAGAATCATAGAATCATTAAATGCTTGAAGTTGGAAGGGACCTTCAGAGATCATCTGGTCCAAGCCCTGCACACAGAGGGTCACCTAGAGCATGTGGCACAGGATTGCGTTCAAGTGGGTTTTAAAGATCTCCAGAGAAGGAGACTGCACAACCTCTCTTGGCAACTTGTTCCAATGCTCTGTCACCCTTACCACTTATTTTTCCTTAAGTTCCTGTGGAATTTTTGAAGCATTAGTTTGTGGACAATTCCTGTAGTCCTATTGCTGAAAAGAGGCCAGCCTCATCCTCCTCACTCCCTCCCTTGAGGGAGGTATTTATACACACTGATCAGGTCCCCTCTCAGCCTTCTCCAGGCTGAACAGACCCAGCTCTCTCAGCCTTTGCTCATAGGGCAGATGTTCCAGGCACCTGATCATTCTCATAGTCCTGCACTGGACTCCCTCCAGCAGCTCCACATCTCTCTTGTACTGGGGAGCCCAGAACTGCACACAATGCTCCAGGTGTGGCCTCACCGGGGCTGTGTAGAGGGGGACGATCACCTCTCTCCACCTGCTGGAGACACTCCTCTTAATGCATGCCAGGATCCCATTGGCCTTCTTGGTCATGAGGACACACTGCTGCCTCATAGTGAACTTGTGGTCCACCATGACGCCCAGGTCCCTCTTGACAGAGCTGCTCTCCAGAAGGTCAGTCGTCAGCCTGTGCTGGTGWCTGGGGTTATTCCTCCCTAGGTGCAGGGTTTTGCACTTGCCCTTGTTGAATTTCATACAGTTTCTTACCACTCAATTGTCCAGTCTGTCCAGGTCCCTCTGGATGGTGGCGCAGCCCTCTGGGGTATCTGCAACTCCTCCCAGTTTGGTATCATCAGCAAACTTGCTTAGGGAGCACTCTGTCCAGGTCATTGATGAATAAATTGAACAGGACCGGGCCAAAGACTGACCTTTGGGGGACACCGCTAACTACAGGCCTCTAACTGGACTCAGCGCCACTGATCACCACTCTCTGAGCTCTGCCATCCAGTCAGTTCTCAAACCTCACTGTCCACTCACCTAACTCACTCTTCCGGAGCTTGCCCAGGAGGATGTTGTGAGGTGTAAAAAGCCTTGCTGAAATAGACAACATCTACCACTCTCCCCTCATCTATCCAGCTAGTCATTTCATCATAGAAGGCTACCAGGTTAGTCAAGCATGATTTCCCCTTGGTGAATTCATGATGACTACTCCTGAGCAACTTCTTGTCCTCCACATACTTGGAGACAACAGCCAGGAGCTGTTCCATCACTTTTCCGGGGATGGAGGTGAAGCTGACTAGCCTGTAGTTGCCTGGGTGCTCCTTCTTGCCATTTTTAAAGATTGGCATAACATTGACTTTCTTCCAGTCGTCCAGCACCTCCCCTGTTCTCTAGGACCTTTCAAAGATGATGGTGAGTGGCTTAGCTGTAATATCCACCAGCTCATGTAGCACTCTGGGGTGCATCCCATCACAGCCCATGGATTTGTGGGTGTTGAGTTTCCTTAGGTGTTCTCTGACCCACTCTTCCTCTACCTAGGGTAAGTCTTCTCTCCAGGTTTCTACTCTTGTTTCTAGCGTCTGGAATTCCAGAGGGCTGCCCTTGGTAAACACTGAAGCAAAGAAGGCATTCAGTAACTCTGCTTGTTCTGTGTCTTTCACAACCAGAGCACCCACCCTATTCACCAGCAGACCCATATTTTCCCTAATCTTTCTTTTGCCATTGATATATTTGAAGAAGCTCTTGTTATTTTTATCACTCTTTGRCAGATTTAATTCCAAATGTGCCTTAGCTTTCCTTGTTGCATCCCTGCATTCCTTGACAACATTTTTGTATTTCTCTCAAGGGGCCAGTCCTTTTTTCCACATTCTGTATATTGCCTTCTTCTGTTTCAGTTCTGCCTCACTCTATACAACCCCCTATATGGGCCTGGGTCCTTGACCTCATTTGTCTGGTCCTCAAGTTCTAGGTGTTGAAAGTGGTCGTTTGTGGAGGCGAGATGGGCCAGAAAAGAGTTCTCCTGCCACCTCAAACATCAAACTGTTTCCATGCTTCTTCATCACTTAATACTGTTAATTCTACCCACTCTGCTCTATGCCATAGCAAGATGGTAGTGAATCCTCAGATCAAATTGGGTGCACTTCCTGGGATGACTGCAGAACACGGCTCCACCAGTCCATTTCTTTCTCACATTCTSTAATACTCCTCAGCCTTTCTACCTCTTCCTTCAGCTCCACCATCTGGTTAAGTAGCTCATCTACCTGCTCACACCTAAGGCTTTTGCTACTCCCTGATAACATGGAGAGGCTCAGACACATTCATATCATTTCTTCTCTTTTACTGTCTAAAAGTGCTCAACACAACAGCCAATCCAGCAGTATTTAGAAGAGTAAAAGCTATCAGGGATAGGAAGCAATGAGTAAAACTCCTTATTAAGCTACAAGGAAGCAGATTATTGAACAGAAAAAWATATATATATGTTAACACATGAAAAACTTGATACATTGTACATTGTACTTACAGCTATCATGGGTAACACTTCCACAGATATGTGTTCAGTGATGGCACAGTCTTACAGGTTCAGATGCTAACCTTAACCTAATGCAATCAACGCTAACCTTAACCTAATGCAATCAACTCAACTGAAATTACAACATTATACATGAATACTGCATGATGCTCCCATGCAAGAGTCAGAGCTTGAACTTCAGCCTGACTTTTCATTTTCAATTGGCTGTGGCTGCTTTTTCTTTATCATTATGTTGTCATTTATAAAGTAAGGTCCTTTAAAAACAGCTACAATCTGTAAACTCCCTTTCAGCTCTTTCTTTCATTCTTTCCATTTATATTCCAAGGAATATGATGTGGGTACGRATCACATGTCAAGTAGGGGGAAGCAGCTCCAAAACTGTTTGGTCTTAGAAATATATTGTTTAAAAAAAAACGTTAATTTTGTGCAATGTAACTGCTTGGATGCATCAGATCCAACATATTTTAAAGGTGTCCCTTTATCAAGGTTGTAACCTGTATGTGAGCTTTTAGATGAATTTGTAGTTTTAGTGCAAGRGATGCAATTGACAGATCAGTTACTCTA